CTTACGGGAAGTGGGAGATTTTCTCCTTGCAAGTTTCTTGGATAGGGCCAGGGCGTGAGACCAGTGCTAGCTGGCAGAGGGTGTCGGTTAGGCACTCTGCACCAGTGCCCAGTGCTTGGAGGCCAAGTTGGGCCTCTGCTCCATTGCCAGAGTTAACACTGACTCCATCAGGAGCACTCAGAGACAAACGCCCTGCTCCCTCTTCATCCTGGGTTTAAATGACTTACAAATGCATCAGTTGTCGCTTATGCGTCCTCCTCCCAGACACCTCAGGCAGCTGCTGCAAGGACCACTGAGGGCCATAGGATGCTTACAGATCACGTGGCTTAAAACTGGGGATGCCCCATGCCAAGACAAAGTCCTGGTTGGGACCAATTATCTAATTCTAAGTCACTCTAAAACTACTAAGGAACCATTATAATTATGAACTACAAACAAACTATTTTACAGGAAAAGAGGCCGGTAGGCAGAACGTCCCTAGCAATGCCAGCACAAGGCAGCAGAGAGTTCCGGTATCGTCACTGGAGGCAGACCAGGGGGACAGGAGCAAAGCCGCCCAGGCGGCGGGAGTCCCGCTGCCTGGGCGGCTTTGCTCCCGGGCAAAGGAGCAAAGCTGCCCAGGTGGCGGCTTTGCTCAGGTGTCCCTGGTCTTCTGGGGGGGGCGGTGTCCAGCGGCTTTGCTGGACCCCCCCAGCAGACCAGGAGAAGCTTTTCTCGCCCCGGAGGACACGGGTGGGGACCCGCCACCCGTGAGCTCCAGGGCGAGAAAAGCCCCGTTCTTAAGTGCGGATCCAACATTAGTCGGATCCGCGTAAGTCGAGGACTGCCTGTATATCATTTTATTTCAGGTGTTCTCAAACTTCATTGAACCCGAATACCCTTCTGTCAAAAAATTACTACAGGACCCCAGGGAAAGGAAGGGGCAGGGTGAAACCTGAGCCCGCACGAGTCCTGCCATCCCAGATTGGGAGGGCCAGGGCCAAATCCCCAGATAGGGGGCCAAAACCGAAGCCCAAGGGCAAGGGCTTCAGCCCAAGACAGGGTACGTGTGACCTAAGCCCTGCTACCAATGGCTGAAGACTTCAGGGTTTGGCTTCAGCTCTGGACCAAGTCAGTCTTAAGTTAGCCCTGGTGATCCCATTAAAACGGTGTACTGGCCCACAGTTGGAGATTCCCTGATTTATTTCATAACTAGCCAATTAGCCCATCATAAGACAGGATTTTCAGGTCTTTCCTGAGCTCTCCCTCTGTCTCTCTCCTCCTACTGCCTCCTCTCCCCCCCCAGCTCTCCTCCTCCTCTCTCCCCCCTCCGTCTCTCCCCTTCCCCTTCCCTCCCGCCATGGCACTTGGCTGAGTGCTGCCTGCTCAGCCAGGCTGCCGCAAGGGAAGGGGGGCTGGGTGGTGACATACAGGGCCAGAGGGCAGGACGGTGTGTCACCACCCTTCCTTTCCCTCCCACCCCGGTGCTGGCTCCCCTGGCGGTCCAGCTGAGGGGCGCAGCACTCAGCTGAGTGCCACAGTGGGAGGGGAAGGAGTCAGTGACATACACGGCGCCACCCCCGGGAGTGTATGTCACCACCCTACCCCCT